CTCGGTGACAATGTTCCCCCCCACATCCAGCAAAGAATGGACCTCAACTTTCTCTGGGGACTGTTCAGAACAAAGGAGCCATATGCTAGATGGGATATTTCCTTTGGTGGAGTTACACCAAGAAAGTATTTAGCCTCTCTGTTACCTTCTTTGCATGTGTGATGCATCTTTTGCAGCATATAGCAACATCACAGTGTGAACTTGCTATCACTTGGTTTCATTTTCCCTCTGAGTCTTCTTATAGAAATGACAATCCCTCTTCAAGTCTCATGAAGCACAGTCCTTCCAGACTTTATTCTTACCTCCTTCTCCATGGTTGAAAGGCCTGGGTTTCTAAGCAGAATTGCTCTGACAGTCATACTTCAAGCCCTGACTTTGCTTTTCCACAAACAACCTAGCCTTGGCTCAAACTTACTCTTCTGGGGCCAGATCTCTGCAGCCTCTTCCTTAACAGCTATGCTTTCATCCATGACTTCTCCCTCCCAGAGGTATCTTCAAACACCTACATAAGGGCGTATGGTACTGCTCATCTGGCAGGAAGAAGGCTCCACCACCTGGATATATTCCTAGCATGGTCTAGGACTCCTGTGTAGATGTGCTCCTCAAGGGAAAGAATGCTGGCTCACCCTGGCACTCAGAGTGGCCTTGCAGAACAACCTGGTAAAAGCATTTTGCGTGTTCAGCAAATTGTAAATAGCTTCCTCCTTTGTCAGACACCAGGGAGGTGACATGCTTTCACCTCTAGGGTCAGTCCTTCATTTCAGTCTTCCTGCTTGAGGTCTAGCTGTCTCTTTGTCACCTCTCCAGCTACTTGGTCACTGGTGTGGCTCCTGGACTAAAGAAAGCTCTTCTGAACTCTCAGATTGGCAACCACATTGCAGCACTCTGTGGCCTCCTTGAAGTGCTCTGTGCTTACACATGTGGGCTTCGAAGACAAGCTGGATATCCAGGCATCAGCAGTAAAAACAATGGGCAAGTAAGTCAGCACCTCCAGCACCAGTCAGATTTTATTAGATATTGCAGAGACAGGGATCGAGCCTTGGGCTGAACAAGATTAGGATCTGCTTAATCACACTACAGCTCGGTCTCAGGGCTGAACAGGACTCCTACGTTGGGGCTTTGAATCAATAGTCTCCTTCTGCCTGTGTCAGATACTTTGTCTGACTCCATGTCGGACACTTTCGGTCTCCCCGCTCAGCTAGCTGAGATGGATCACTCAATTACGAGCCATCTGGGACCCTTACTGTCCTTAGGCAGAGTCTTAGAGTTTATGGACTTGCCTGTCACCTTAAGGATTAAACAACCTAATTTGTTTTGCATTTGGTGTTCCTAGCTAAGAGGTTTAAGGATTGGGTGTTAGTTGCCATCTCCAGTCCACTCACTCCTCCCCTTTTTGGTCATCTGGTGGGAGATCACAGCAAATGGTGCCTGTGAAGGCAGGGCTCGGTGATGTGAAACCTGAACACCCCCTCTGGATTCAACCCCAGGCTTACAGTGTGACCCTGCTGTGTGCATCTTGTTGCCCTCAGCTCCTCTATTTCTAGCCTAGAGAGAAGGTGTTGCAAGTCTTGATTGCTTCTTGTTTGTGGGGTTGTTGGAAGTTGCAAAGTACTGGGCAGCATTCCAGAAAATGTGCACACAGCTGGTGTCCAGCTCCCAACCATGCCTCACCCAGGGCAAGCAGGGGGAGATAGCTGAATGTGCAAGCCCGTGTAAGTGTCATGTGGTGCTGAGAGGGAAGAGGGCAGGAGAGTGCATCAGAGAAGAATTTGGATTCCCAGTCATACTCTCATCAGTGAAAACATGCAAGGCATCATGGACTAGGGAAAATCTTGGGGGAAGGTGAAGGAATCCGAACGAGGCATCATTTTAATTTTCAAGGCCACGTACAGAAGCTGAAGGGAAAATAGGCTGAAATATGGGCGGGAGGAGAGGGAAGTTAAGGGTTCAGTGATGAAGGGAAACAGAATTAGAACAGCTTTGAAAGGTGCTGAGAGGAGGAGGAAAAAAAAAAAAAAAGCCCTTTATTTTGAGGTGTTTTATTGTCCTTGTGCTGAATCTGGTTGGAAAAGGCTTCATGTTTCAAAGGCTTATTCAGATGCTAGCAGGGACATCTCCCCTTTGAAATACTGAGAGCCACTGTATTGAGCCTCTGGACAGAGCTACTGGGCACCTGTGTGCAAGAGAAAGGGACAACTAAGGGTGCAAGCTGCTGGGGGAGTGGCAAGGGCTGTGCACTGAAGGGAAGGCTGCCTGGATAGATAAAACAAGCTGGGGTACTTGCTGAAAAAGCCTCCACCTTTTCCATGCATGAGGATTAGGGTCAGGTTATAGCCACCTTTGCACTCTCCCCTTTGCTGGAAGGGTTATATGGGGGAGGACACATGCATGAAGATAAGGGCAGGACTGAATCCAGCTCTGTGTCAGAGCTGTTTTCTTGGAAAGGAGAGATGGGGCAGTGAGACCGGGTCCTGTGTGGGTTTGTACAGGAGGAACACAACATGGTGCAAGGATGCCCCTTAGCAGGGATGCTCCCTGGTCCCGGGGAAGCAGAAATCTTGAGATAGTGCTTCCTCTCCTCCTGGGGGCTGCCATGCAGAGTCCATTTTAGAGCAGCACAGGTGTGTGGTCCTTGCTCAGAGATCAGACTCTGCATTTTATGAATGCTGTATTGCCACTTACAGCTCTACAGGGAGTAGGCACCAATCAAGGCATCATAGCTTTTGAGAATGATTTTGAACGTGCTTATCAGCCCTTTTATATATGAACTTCTCATCATATTGAAGCCCAGGTTTTATCCTAAGTGTAATGGATAGATCTCCTAGTGAAGATTCGTCTGTAATTTCATAGTTTGTAACACTGAGAGTGAGGTTTTTACCTCCAGATCTCTCAGCACCAAGAAATATTTGCTCCATTTTACTGACAGGAAAACTGAGACAAAGAAAGCTTAAAGGGAACATGCAATGGTGTAAAATAAGCCTGGTAGACTTTTTGGCTTCTGTATGGAGAACAGGAAGAACTTGGGCATTTTGTTTTGTTTCTAAGAAATTGGGGGAGTGGGTTGTGGTTGTTTTTGTATTCAAGATGGAAAGCCTGCCTAGTCTGGAGGACAAGTAAAATAAGAGCTAATATAATATGTCTAGTATCAAAAGAATCAGAAGAATAGAAAATGAGCAAGGCAGCACTGTTTTGCCAGGCTATTTAGTGTCCTTCTCAAAGTCATTAGTTTTCATAAACTCCTCTTTGATTTCAAGAGCTCATTCATTTCAGCAAAAGTGCCATCTCCCTGTATGGTGAATTAAGGTGTAAATGGTAGAAATAAATAAAATGCTCCGAGAATACTGACATGTCCTCCAAGAGTTGAAGACCATAAATGACAGTGCATGATTTTTCCAGTAGTAAAAGAGCAAGCAGAGGAGAAAGCAACCAAACTACCAAACTAGTCCTCTGCCTCCCACCTTCTGTGTAACACAAAGGAGAGGGAAAGAAAAAGTCCAGTTTTCATCAAATCCATTGCAGGTAACTTCCGAGTGACTTGCTAAAGGTCCCAAAGCCTGCCAAATGAGTCAAAAGTCAGGCTTGAGTTTTCTGAATTTCAGTTCAGAGCTCTAAATTCTGCATGGAAATGACATCAAGCGAGTTCTCAAACACAAGCTCAGCCAGCCCTGGCTTTCTCTGAAATCCCATCTCCATATGCAGACTGGCTCCCGTTCCTCTGTCTGTCTCCAGTCACCTTCCCCTCCTCTCTCCTCTTACATTCCCCCTCTTGCATGTTCTTCCTTGTGCCCTGACATTGCCCTGATATTGACTGTCCCTTCTCCTTTGCTACTAGGTGGGCTCCTTCTTCATGATTAACCTGTGTCTGGTGGTCATCGCCACGCAGTTCTCAGAGACCAAGCAGCGGGAGCACCAGCTGATGCAGGAGCAGAGGGCCCGGTACCTCTCCTCCAGCACTGTTGCCAGCTACATGGAGCCGGGAGACTGCTACGAGGAGATCTTCCAATACGTCTGCCACATCGTGCGCAAAGCCAAACGCCGCACCCTTGGGCTGTACAACAGCATACAGAGCCGGCGCCAGGGCCACGTGGAGCCAAGCGATGCCAAGCTAGGCATGAACAGAAAAAGCCAGAGGCACTACAGTAAGGATTGTGTGGGTAAAGCTGGAAATGCCAATAGTGGAAATATGAGAGTAACTGGGAGCATCTCCATGTGCCAGCTTACCAAAGGACCTGTGCCTACAAAGCACAGAATTAGAATTAACATTGGCCATTGAGCATGGGGTCATGGCCAGCATACCAGACCAGCAAGGTGCGGATGACCAGCAAGAATGGGAATGTAACAGGGGTGACCAGCAAGGAACATGAGAAACCCAGCTCTGAAACCCAGAGACCGTAATGGGATAACATTAAAGGCACTGGCTGAGGCTTGTAAGGGGCTCCAGGTCTGGTATAGCAAGGTGATGATAGCAGTTTGGGAGAGAGGAGTATTAGAGGGATATGACAGAGTAGGACTAAGGATTGGACTGAGTGGCACAGCAGGTCTCCCAGAGCTCTCCTCCCAAATTGAGCTGCTGTGGGACCTCAAGAGAGAGGCAAAGGGAGTAGAATTGCAATAGGGTACCTGAACCAAGGGAGCAATACTGAAGAAGTCAGTTTGATATGCAAGGGCAATGGAGACAATTTCTCTTGAAGGGTCCATATGCTGTTGTGTAAAATTAGACATGAGATATCATTTAAATTGGATTCCTGGCCTGAAAAGTGACTGTAAAAATGGTTTTATAGAGTTAGTAGCCTGCCAATGCCTTTCCTAAGTTATACTCCTATTAACAAGAAAAAAGGTGGATTTTCCTTCAGCTGGTCTTGCATACTCAGTCTTTCATTTTCTTTACTTGCTGGGAGAAAAGTTTCTGCGGGCTTCATGTGCTCTGTTAATGAATTAATTGCTTCATTTCCCCCAGTGTCCATTTGATCTTTCAGGCCCAATGGGAGGATTGAGGAACAGAAACTTAGTTTTCTCATTGAAGTCAGGAGATCTGTTCTGGTTCAGTAATAAAAATTGTAATGAAAAGGAGAACAACAAGAGAGAGAAACAAAACCCAGGGAAAAAAAAACAAGTGATGCAACCACTTACCACCCGCCAACTGACACCCAGCCAGTCCCTGAGCAGTGATTGCTGCCTCGGGGCCAACTCCCCCAGTTTATATACTGAGCATGATGCTATATGGTATGGAATAGCCCTTTGGTCAGTTTGGATCAACTATTCTGGCTGTGCCCCCTCCCAGTTTCTTGTGCACCTGGCAGAGCATGGGAAGATGAAAAAGCCATCAACTAGTGTCAGCACTACCTAGCAACGACTAAAACATCAGTGTGTTATAAGCATTATTCTCATCCTAAATCCAAAACACAGCACTATGCCTGCTACTAGGAAGAAAATTAACTCTATCCCAGCCAAAACCAGGACACCCATTAGGCCTAATCACTGGCAGCTGACCAGTACTGTGCCTTTTGGTGACACAGCCAGTAAGTGTAAAGTCCCCAATGGCAATGGCTTTTATTGCTGCCCCTGAGATGATGCAGCTGTGTTTAATCATCCTTACAGCTAGAAAGCCCAGTTACCCTGTATAAATACCCCAAAAAGCCAAACAGGTGCCCAGTTTCAATGTCTTTTTCAAAGCCTTCTCCTTTAAGCGTGATCATTTCTCTCTGCAGGGCTTTGCCAGCAGCACAATTCTCTTGACTGCCCCCCTCAGGGCTTGGTCCAGCCCATTGCTGTGACTGCAACCTCTGATCCCACCAACTGCCCCCGATGCCATAGCGGGGAGCACGAAGCATCCCGAAGGCTCTCTGTCCTGGATAGCGCTGACTCAGACCAGGAGGATGGAGGAGCCAGCGAAGAGGAGGGAGAGGGCAGCAGAGAGGACCAGGGTGCCTCAGCACTGGAGAAGAAGGAGGAGGAGTTGGAAGAAGGTGGACGGCTGAAGCTCTGCAGTGACATGTGGCGAGAAGTGAGGGTCAAGCTTCGAGGGATTGTGGACAGCAAGTACTTCAACCGTGGCATCATGATCGCAATCCTAGTGAACACTATCAGCATGGGCATCGAGCATCACGAGCAGGTAAAGCATCTCAGGGCACAGGGGGGGCAGTGGGGACTGGTGAGACCTGCTTGGGATTACAGCCTCGCTAAGCAGCTGATGCAACTTGGTGGAGGCAGAGATTGAGCAATTTGGACCCCAGGCTGCAGCACAGATGGTCCCAGCAGGGCTTTGGAGAAAACCTCAGGATCTCGCAGGGTCTTTTCTTCCTTATCCCTGCACTTAATCACTTGCACTGTCTCCATGTATTTTCCTCTCGCCTCCTTTCAATACCTCTCTTTTCCTCCTCCCTGCTCACTTTTATCCTTCTGTTTTTCTTTTTTATCCTGTCTTCTCTTTCTATCTGCTTCTCTCTCCTTCACCCTCGTCTCTTCCATCTTCCTCATCTCTCTCTCATTTCTCTCTTCATTAGCTTACTGAATCCTTAGTCTATTTGGTTAATTTAATGTGCCCTCTGGGGATGTCACAGGCACTTCACCAGCATCTCAATTCAAATCCATCATCTTGCTAGCCTTTCCAGCTTAATTAAGAGATGACTGAGCACAGTCTATCTATACAAGAAGGTTAGGGAAGGCACCACCTCCCATCTCCAGTCATTTTGGGAGCTCAGATGGTTTGAGCCTTTCTTTTGCCCTGACAACAAGAAGTGATAGATAGGTCAGATATAGACAGCAGGTGTGGGCACCGGTTTGACTTTCACACCAATAGTTTGCAGGCAGCTCTGAGTCAGCAGTGCACTTTATCTTAATGAAAGACTTGTGAGATGGAGAAGGATTGTGTGCCCTCATTTTATAGCTGGGAAACAGGAGCTGTGTCTACTTTGTGATGTGCAGAGCCAGATTCACAGGGTGTTAAGCATCCCCATCACCTTGCGTCTGCATTGCTGGCTGGTAGCTCTTCTACACTTTGCATTAAAGAGTCCATGCTGTACCTCCATGTTTCAGATCTATGACACCAGTCTGAATGTGACCATGATTCGTTCCATGTGTCTGCCCAGATTACAAAAATAAGAGCTCGTTCCACTACTGAGATACTGACTGCAGTGAAGCTTTGGAGCCAAGGCAAAGTCTAGTCCTGAATACAGTCTCAGGCAGCAAAGAGACAGGCAGTGAGTCTGGTTCAAGCAAGACACTCAGATTTGTCCTGTGCTGTGTCAGGATGGACATATCTTGAGATCCAGAGTTGCCCTGTCTGAGGCAACGTGGTGTCTGAGTCAGTATTTGAAGCCTCAGGTGTCTGGATCCCACCCACATACCAAGCATTAGACCATTTTTCAAAGCCCAGCTAGTTTCCAATACAAGGATGGGAAACTTTAATTTGATCCCAGAATGCAAAACTGCACTGGATGCTTCAGTACCAGAAAAATACTGGCAGGAGCTCAGAGGAGAGGAGGATGAAGAAGAGGCTGGAGGGGTTGACTCATGAAAACAGATAAAAAAGAGCCATGTATTTATCACGTAGCAGAGAGATGACTAAGGGTTGAAGCCCAGGACAATATGAAGACTGCCCACTGATGTTTTAAAGATGTGAGCACCAAGCAGGGAGAGCCATTGTTCATTTTGGTTTATTGGAGACAGCGTGAATTAAGAGTTTAGCAGAAGTATATTTGAGCTGGAGGTAGAGAATTCACTCTCATGTTCTGGCTATTGTGTATGCAGGTTTAAGCCCTTCTAGGCCGCCTCTGCTGTGTTTGTACAGCCCACAACAGGGTGGGATCTGCCTGCAGCCTTGGGGTTTCTAGTAGCAAGTTATTAATGACACGTCCTTAAAGTTATGCTATCACTTTTTATCCATAAGTAGCTAGGAAAAGCTTATGACCCTGCATGCTGTTTCTACTAAAAAGAGATGTCAGCTAAATTGATCGTAACTGAAAAATGTGTTGCAGCCTGTTTATTTAAAATATGTATACTGAATCCTGCTTCCCTGTCACAAGAAGATTAAAAAAAAAAATATTCAGACCATACCATGAATTCCAGGTCCTTTTCAGTCAGCAGTTAACTCAAAAGCACACGGGCGTTTGCACTTCCCCTTGTTCTCTTTCAGTTTTCCTCAAGTCATGCTATCAGTACCTCTCAGACTGGTACTTCATTGCCTCCTTTTCTCTCCTTCCTTTCTCTTCTTCCTGTTGTTTTTCCTCCTAGAAACACAACTTTTCACAGAACAATATCCAGCAAAACTCCTCTGCCCACAGAGATCTGTGATTTGCAAGGTGACACCATCCTATGACTGAAGTAGCTTCTGTTGCTTCAGATACTTAGAATCATAGAATCATACTTCATCATATGAATGTCTCCTGGCCCAGAGCTGATGCATATACAGACCTCTCAAGCTTTTATTTTCTGGTCCATGGGAGATCACAACCCCAGCCACTCTCTGGGGACATATGTGGCTGGGCAAGAGGATGTGTGAAGGTGTCACAGGTTTGAGCAGTCCTGGGAGCAGCTCACGGCATGTCTGTCAGCATCTTGCTGCTCCATTTATTCTCAGACTACACACAGATGAGCTGGCCCACTGACCAAAGCACCTACCAACCATCAGGTTAAGGGGTGAGAGAGACTGCAGGAGCCAGGCAGAAGGTTAAGGCTCAGAAACACAGAAACCTGGGGGTCAGAGCCCGTGTGCAAGACTTGCCTTCGATTCTTGGACCTTGACCAACAGAAAGAAAAACATGCATTAAAATGAGCTGTTTGTTACAATTCAGGGGTTTAATATTCACAATGTTCTTCTGCCAGGAGACTTAACCTCAGCAACTCAAACCACTTTACTCAGATCCAAATCACCTTGGAATTTGGCTTTGTTTAGCTTATCCATCCAGTCCCTTGTCCTGTCCTGTTTACGTGGTCAAGGCAGCTTCCCATCTCCTTATATGTTTCATGTGAGGGAAATAAACTCATTTTGGGACAAACTGCACTGCTATGAGTCATTTTTAATCCTTAAGCTTATCACAAGTTATCACTTGTAAATAGATAAGTTTATTCAAATCCATCAGTGTGCATTATACCATGTAATATCCTCAGTATTAGCCCTTCGGATATTGCTGGGACATTGCACAAGCCAAAATCCATCATTTCAAGCTTTGTCCTGCTTGAAATAGTTTTTGCAGTTCTTCAGATCTGCTTCTACTTGGAAGTGCCTATTTTTAAAATCCAGTGTAGAAAATCAAGATATTAGACGCCTGTGGCTGTCCAGAAGGACCCTTTTAAGAGGCTTACTTTTTTTAATATTGACAGAAGATCTGGTGCTGCTCACTTTTCTCCCTTATTCAGCATAAGGATGAAAGGCTGGTCCCAGCTGAATGTCCCAGGCTGCCTTTCTCACATATTTCTTGAATGGCCTTTTAGACTCAAGCTTCTTTGCCATTAGTAGCCAACGAGAAAATTGCTGAGTAACTTGGTTTATCTTCTCCAGTATCTACTTACAGGGTTCCTACATACATCAGATCAATACTTTATGAGGTCTGTCTTGTGTGGACCAGGAGATGATCCCTTGTTTCCTAACTAGACCAGCCCTGTGGATCAGTACCTTCATATCCTTTATCCTGTGTAATTTCCCTTTATACCAGCATTTATTGCATTCACAAGTTCATATTTTACAGTTATTGCTTCTCTTTTTACTATTTGCTGCTTGTCAGAAACATTCAGCAAATGTCCAAGCCAGCTCATCATACTGACATTTAGTAAATGATGAAACTGTCTCCCTGGGGTGGTAGATGAAACCACATTACTTCAGTCTTGTAAAACGAGGGTATAACAAAACATCACAAAATCCTGCATTGGTTGTGAGGTGGCGATTAGAGTAAGTAAAAGGTAGTTGGTATGTTCCATGGCTGATTTCTATGACTCTTCTGATTATTGTCAAGAGACTTTGAAATGGTGAGTAAAAATGGGCAGGCTGGAGAGACCTCTGTATGGCATATTTCTCTCTCGTGTTCTCAGAGGCAGTGATGTGCAGGTACGGTTCAGTAGGGCTGGTCTGCGTAGATCACATCAATTACTTTTCAGTTTCTGGACAGTTGCAAATTTACTCCTGGTAAGGAGAAACTTCTCCTGCAGGGGCTTCAAGGTGGTCTGCATATTCTTAACCTTTCCTATAGTGCAGGAGTTTCTGGCTGCTGTCAGATAATGGACTAATTACATTTTCAGTCTAATCTGATTTAAGTACTCCAATATTACTAAAAAACTGAAAAGGGGGGAAAAAAGCTGAGCCACTGCCCACTATTGACCCAGTTCTAGTTTCTGATCACTGGGCAGGAGCTCTGAAGTAGATCCGAATCATGCATTTCACTCTCAGTATCTGATCTGCATTGTTAGGGATGAAGAACTTTGTGCCATGAAGATGTGAATTAGGTAGTTTCATGGATTTGGAAGAAGATCCATATGCAGAGAAGGTGAACCAGTCTGGTTAAAACACTGGATCTGGGCATGCTTTGCCCCCTGGGGTCTCTCTCCCCTTCAAGCCACCCTCCTCACACCAATACTCAGCTCCCACATTTTTGTTTGAGTTTCTTTCCTAGTGTGATGGGTAAACCAGTCTATCCTGGCTTGGCAATATGAACAGACTTCTTGTGGGGAGATTTCTGATGTTCCCTGGTTTTGCTTGGACTAAAATAGCCTTCAGTTCAGGCCTTAGCTTGTGGACACTTCAATTTACAGTTTCTAGGTAAACCTGGGTGGCCTGGGAGGAGGAAGCCTTGCTAACAGTTTTGATGATAAATGCCTGACTGCTGCCTGTGGGAGCCTGGGGAACTCTCACAACTGTGAGGTGACGCATCCATTGTATTGGGGATCCTGTGGGTCAGTAGGAAGAAAAGGAGAGAAACACTTTTTCCTGGTTCACTTGCCCCCTTCATCAAGTTCACACTTCCTTGGCCAGAGAGAGTCCCCCACACCCGCTGCGTCCCAGCCACCAGCCTTGTCCACTGTCACACATGGCCACTCTGCCCCAGGTGTGAGGGCATCCCTGCACAGGACAGAGCCCCTGGTCACCCCCACCCTGCAGCCCTGGCTCCCAGGTGGTGGCTCTTTGCACTCTGCCGAATTATCTGTATCTCCAGAAATGGCTGCAATGCAGGATCTGCCTTTAGCCAGTGAGTGTACCTCTCCAGCTGGCTCCTCTCTCTTTTTCTCTTCTTTTTTCCCCTGAGTTCATTCCTTTTGTGTTGCTCTTCCTTCCCCAGCCTTTACTTTTTTCCTACTCCATTTAAAAAAAATCTCTCTTTCTCTACTTCTTGTGGGTGCCAGTGGGTTTGTTTTACTAATTTTTCTTCAGCTTAGTTTTGTGATTCCTCTTTCACTGCTTTCTCTCTGCCCATCTCTCCTTCCTTTCCCTGCCCAGTCTTTCCTGCCCCTCTCTCTGGGAAGGATGCTTTGCTGGGGCTGACTGATGGCCCATTAGAAAAAGATTAACAGGTGGAGGCTTGACTAAGGAAACAGATGTCAGGGAGGGAAGGAGAGACAGAGGAACAGGTGACCTTTGCCACAAGTGAGATGCAAGCGTGGCTTTTCAAACATCAATTGCTCCCTACGACAGCATAAGAGAGAACGTGTGGACAGTAGAGAGGAGGATAATCCACCATCCTAGCCTGTTGCTTTTTTACATTGCTCATTCTCACTGACATAATCATTTGATTCAGGCTGAAATTGGCATCTCAATTTAGCATATGGACCTCATGTTCCCTGCAAGTGTCATTACTGCCTGGCTCTCTGTGATCTTCATCTCTCCCTTCCCATGTGCACTTGCTCGTTCTTTCTCTTCACTCTTATCTCCCCTACTTTCCCCCTCATTTTCAGGATGGTTTGTTATTCAAATTTAATTATGGATGGAAATTGAGCCATCTCCCCTTTTTTGATTTTAAAGAAATTGAGTATTTCAACAAAAAGCTGCAATGAAGAGTGCAAGAAATTATCAAAGGGCATGCGAAGCCACAGATGTGAAGAGCAGTTTCCAGTCCATTTGCTCACCTGGGAGGATCTGGGCCCCTGGGGGTCCCAGAGCAGGGGTTAAAGCAGCCCCCAGCTTCAGGGGGAGAGTCAGACCCAGGACTGCATTCCTCCCTCACTTCCCCTTCCACCAGCTGAATAAGTAACAGGCACCACCAACACAAAGTCTGCTCTTCAGAAAAACAGCAATTTTGCAGTCCTCGGGGAGAGACCATGACTCCCCTTCTCAGTGGGCACTAATACTGAGTTCATGGTAAAAATATTGGCTCTGACCTGCAGGGACTCAGTTTTTTGTTTCCGCAGTGCCAGGAGCGTCTGTCCTCTCTTGCCCCAAACAACAGGCTTTTGCAGTTTTCTTGTTCTCATCCATTTTATGTTAAGCTTAAAAGAGTGGCCTGGTGGCCAGGCATAGCTCAGACCAATGTGAAGGAAGAGGGGAGTCTTCAGCCACCATTTCAGCATGGGTATCCAAAGAGTGAGAGGGGTACTGCCTGCTACCACAGAGCCTGGGTCAGGCTCACCTCGAAGGCTTGGAGCTGAGGCTCAGCGGTGCAGTAGGTTAAATACCAAATATGTAACCTTGTCTGAGGTGTGACATACCTGCTCCAAGGTAAACTTGGAAATCTGGGCCAGAACAGCACTGAAGAAGTGTCTTGGAGCTGTCTTGTTCCTCTGCTTGGGAAGGTGGCACACCTTCATCTGGAGTAGGTCCCCACCAGCTGCTGCTTGGGAAGGTGATGGCCAGCAGCATGCTACAGGGAGGTGTATTGCCCTAGTAGTCTCATGCGGTCTGAAACCCATGGGTTGTCTAGCCCGGCCCCAAGATACAACCCATTATACTGGGAGGAAGTTTTTCTCTCACTTTGGGAACATTTTGTACCTTGCCATTGCCATGGTAGTCTCCCTGGGCTAGGGGTGTGTGTGTGTCTCAGTATGTGCAAACATGGGCAGGCTTGCGCATGTGTTGCCCCTCACGCATCTGACCTTGTTTGAGATCTCAGCCCTTGCTGTCCAGCCTAGTGCAGTCCTAGTCCCTCGGTGAGAGGTGCTTTGAGCAGATGAGTCCATTCCAAATTCAGTGTGGGGAATGCCTCCATTTCACAGGGGATGGCAAGATCCTGGCACTCCTCATCAATGACATCAGTGCAGCCTCTGTCTCCCTCTGAAGCAGCGTTTCATCATTTCTGAGGAAACGGTCTAGACCTTTTCCTGACCTTGTCAGAGAAGTTTCCAAGGCTGCACACACTGAAGAAAAGGTCATTAATTCAGAAAACAAGAGGAGGAGTAATTTAATTTGCTCAGACTTGTTCCACTGATGGAATCATTAAAACACTTTCTCTCATATGCACAAACACATGGGTCTCTGCTGGAGAAGGCTGTATCACAGGGGCTGAAAGATGTGTCAGAGATTCAACAGAAAAAAATGCCTGAGGCAGGGTCAGATTGCCTTTTTTTTCTTTTTTGGTTTTTTTTTTTTTTTTCAACACAGTCATCTTGTGTCATCCCTGGAGGTTTTCACCTTGTGCATCTGCCTTTCTCCTCTTGCTGTCCGTTTATCTCTTTTCCTCACCCTGTCCTGCTCTTCCTGTCCCTTACAGGTAGGTGTTAGCAGTGTGCCCCTCCTTGCTGTTGTCTTATTCATCCAGTCTGATATTCACTTGGGTAATTATTGAGACCACTCTGAGGACAGAGGCATGATAAAAGACTGCTGGAGCAAGACTGGAAAACTAATGCAGACCAAGGATTTGGTGGGGAGCAGGGGAGAGAAAACTGGAAAAGGGGAAAAATAGAGGGGAAAGGGACAGAGAAGTGCAGTGAGGTTTAGAGGAAGATAGGGAACTGTTTTCCTATCATTCAAATGTTTTCAGAATTTCAGAAAAAAATTGTGCCAGCTACCTGTGGAAAGCTCAGAGGAAGAAATCCTTGAAGAAAGATGTTGACCACAGATCAGCCACTTTTGCCCCGCTTCAAAAAAATACTCAAGTTCTTTGCACAAAGTAAAGCAGCCTTTAGCCAGGGGACCAGGATATGGAGTGGGATGTGGGAGACACTTGGTCAGCCTTGGCTATGTGAATGGCTGTGGAGCTCCTGACCACTTCTAGTAAAAGAATGTTAGGGACATAATCTATAATGAATCTATGAAACGTTCAAAGGAATTGGAATGCAAGTGGCTCTGTCCAGCTCCACTCTAATCTCACCCATGGGAGCTTCACAGCTCCCTACAAAGCCTGTCTCCTGGCAATGGTGGCACTTTATTTCTCATAATTTCAGGGCTCTTTCAGTTCTGACTATCTGAATTTGCATTCTCTCCAGCCAGAGGAATTGACCAACATCTTGGAGATCAGCAACGTTGTCTTTACAAGCATGTTTGCCCTGGAGATGATCCTGAAACTTGCTGCTTTTGGTCTCTTTGATTACCTCCGCAACCCCTACAACATCTTTGACAGTATCATCGTCATCATCAGGTGACAAGGGCCTTGGGGATCAACTGAAATACATATAGAAAAGAGTACCACAGAGCTTGCACATTTTCACATGCCTTTTCTAAAAGGATTTAGCAGTAATACTAGGAGGAGCTGAGCTGATGTGCAAGGCCAAGGATTGGGAGACCAAGATGTCTTTTCCCAACACTTGGTGACCCTAAGCAAGCCGCATAGCATTTCTGCCCCTCAGCTCTCTCCTCTGTAGAATGGAGGCACTTGCAATTGCCTTGTAAGTCCACAACAATTATTAGCTCTGAAATATTTTAAAAACGCACAAATTAAGGATGCTACAGAGGTTTAATGTGTAATTGAAGAACTTGTCTTGCTAGAATTTAATGCTGCAATCCTTTCCTCATTCCTGCAACATGCAGTGCCATGTTCATGTTCTTAAGGGAGAAATGCAGCTTTCTACACATAAGTATGTCTATAGTATATATTTCTAATTATATCTTGCTCAAACAGATTTTCTCTCTGACCCCTTTATACTTGCTGCCAATGCAGAGGTGAAAACTTGGATTAGCATTGTTATTCCTCTCTCTCTTCTGTTACTTCACTTGTCTTTCATTTTGTCCCTCGTACTCCCTGTGCCTCTCTGGGCCATAGCATCTGGGAGATCATTGGCCAGTCGGACGGGGGCCTCTCTGTGCTGAGGACTTTCCGTCTCCTGCGGGTGCTGAAGCTGGTGCGTTTCATGCCTGCGCTGCGCCGCCAGCTTGTAGTGCTGATGAAGACTATGGACAACGTAGCCACCTTCTGCATGCTCCTCATGCTCTTCATCTTTATATTCAGGTGAGGAGGCAGTTAGTTGCCTCACAGTGTTTTGGAGAGGCACTGCATGGCTCAAGTGGACAGCAACTTCACAGCATGATTGCATGACTCGTCTTGCCCATTGCTCTAGGCTCAGGCAGCACTGACAAACATTTATTTGTTCATAAGGGCTGAGGTTACTGCTGCCCTAAATTGGGT